GTAGATAGCACAAAATACTACTTAACTTGAACATTCCAATAAGACTGAAAACCAACAATTTTTAATCCAACTTAATTCATTACGTAAAAAAAAATAATAATAATAAGCTGAAAATTCAAAACATTATATTGGGAGATCCTACAGAACTTGTAACGTTTTCGATCACTGATTTCTGTTAGAAACGTCTCCACGTGAAGTCACAGCACGCGTTAACGTTACTTGTGCTTGTCGATGTTTAATTTCAAAGACGCACATACCATACCATGTTATTTCCGCCAATTACTAATTTTCAACTGGAATTTTTATGGTCATTCAGAGAGCGTTAGAGATCATTTCATAGGTTCAATCTCTGTGTTCTCACGCGTACCTCCAAGTCTATCAGGTGGACCAGCACTGCAAGCTGGTATGGTTGTGTCCTCTTTTAAAATGCAGCATGTTCAGCGAAAGTATACTTGTGTATGTTTACATTAATAACTTGAGGCTTAGACATAATATCCAGGCAACTAGCTACTTTCTTATACTATAGGTGACCATTTTGTAACTTTTATGGTTGCTAGAATAATATATGCGAATAATTAATTAAAATGTCAAATAAAGATATGTAAACTCACAACAAGTAACAAACACCGCACTCTGACCAGCGGAGGACTGTTTTTGCAAGAAATTCAGCTCTCTATTATCACCAAATAGAGGTTTATATGGCCTTAAGTTGGAACATAACTTAATGTAGCTTTTCTCGGAGGGTCAGTGGTAAGTTTACGGATTACAACGCTGAAATCCTGGGTTCGGTTCTCCGGTAGACAGAGTACGGATAATCTATTGTGTAGCTTTACACTAAGAAAACAATATAATGTAGTTTTTAGATATGTTAACGTACTTAAACTCTTTCATTATGAAGAAAGTTTAGGACTAATCAGTTTTCCAGCTGAATTTAGCATTCAATTCGGTGGAATGAATTCTGATATGAAAACAAATACGCTCACGTTGGGTAAAAATTCCATGCCACGACCAGCTGAAGTTGTCAGTTTTGTATAATGATAGCTCTCAACATCACAGCTAGCGCGAGAGTAGAATTTGCTTGTTTCTGTTTTATATGGTAATTTTTAGTCACGATTTTTATTGTTTTGTACAAAGTATTGCAGATTTTTTATTATTGCTGCTATCAAGAATGTAATTAGAGACGGTAAGTTTCAAGGTGATAGGAAGGAGTTAAAAATTTAACCTAATCACGAGGCACATAAACGGATAGCAAGTCAGTCACGTATTGTGGTAATAACCTAGTTATTCAATCACGTTGTTCAAATGTCAAGTTAAGAGCGGATGCTCTCACCAGGTGGCCTAACTTGGCCATGTTTACACAAGAAAGAGCAGGTGGTAAGTTTAGAATACTTATAAACAAAAAATGTGAGAAACAAAAATATAAAAAAATATCATAGATCAGTTAGCACGTGATGTGGGCGATGTATAATGAACAATTAATCTTAGACCTAACTACAAAAATGTGTTTGTTTGTTTCCTTTCTATTTATCATGCGTTTCCTACATAGAACACTGGAGTTCTGTTGAATCTATTATTATTATTGCTGTCTCATGTTTCATCAAAGAAAATTGTCGACTCATCAGAGTGGTTTTAAGCTCTTTTTCCCTCCTGCATCCTCCGTCATTCAACAAACCTAAGTAGTTAATTCTTTACAATTATAATACTTTATAAATTAACGCGCCGAGCTACAATGTACTAACATAAGTACAATATCAATCACAAATAGGTATGTTTTTAATTCTTCTGTGCAGCCAAGTTAGGTGAAGTCACCATATTATTCGAAAAAAGAAAATCAAGCTTGATTAAGGTTGTTGTTTTATACCGCAAAGCTACACAATGGGCTGTCTGCACTCCTTCCAACGCGTAAATTCGAAACTCGGACTATGTTGTTGTAAGTCCGACTACTTACCTCTGACCCACCAGGGGGCACTTGATTAAGGTTGTTGTTTTATACCGCAAAGCTACACAATGGGCTATCTGCACTCCTTCCAACGCGTAAATTCGAAACTCGGACTATGTTGTTGTAAGTCCGACTACTTACCTCTGACCCACCAGGGGGCACTTGATTAAGGTTGTTGTTTTATACCGCAAAGCTACACAATGGGCTATCTGCACTCCGTCCAACGCGTAAATTCGAAACTCGGACTATGTTGTTGTAAGTCCGACTACTTACCTCTGACTCACCAGGGGGCACTTGATTAAGACAAGATAATTGGTGTCTTTCAGATACATAACAATGTATTATTTTATGTTTATTTTTCCAAATTAACGTATAAAATTATCATATTCACAAAAATGTAAAACGTAGTAGTTCGGCTAATGTTCAATTTAAAGCAGTGACTATATCATACGAATGTTTATGTTTGAAGTATCGAATGAAAACGCCCGAGCAAAGTATTAACGTAATCATTGGCAACCTGCAAGAAAGTTAAACTAAGAGTCAGCGTTACCATCCACTACCTGAAAAGGCCTAAGCAAATAATTAACGTAATTACTAACATCCTAGAGAAGTTGTGGCATTAAACGTCGTTACCTGGCGAAACAATAATCGTTAGGCCTATTATTTATGACAAAAGTCATGTTAAGCTGCAGATTGTTTTCAACATTCCTCTAAGTTATTATATTTTAGGTTTCAGTTTATAAATGTGTAAAAATAACATTTCTTTTGTCTGCCACAAGTCACTGCCCAGGAGGCCTTTCTGCATTACCAAACTTCGTCAGATGAGCTGGATATAGCTCAGGCTGTGTATTCATATGTGACATTATCCAAGTATTAACAATAAGACTGAGTTTAGAATGGCTGTAGTTTTCTATAGTACACGGAAGACTGATGAATTTTCCGTGTATCACTTTTTAATTATTTTTGTCAATAAAACCATTGTGATACGTTATTTAAGGTCTAAAATGACATTTCCTCTTAGGCTCGCTATTTTTTTATAGCTTTAGAAGCCCAAATGCCCTGTGTTATAGAAACTCTTACGGTTTGTTGCTCATATTAAGTAAATTAGTTAGTTGAAAGAATTATAACATCTAAATCGTTTTAGTTATTCCCTAACTAATAACTAAATTGAAATTTTTGCAGTTTGAGAGCAATAAAATCAACGATAATTGAACTCAGCAAAAATCTCAAGGAGATAAAAATAGAGTCGATATATGAAAGCTTAATTACACATGGAAATAGTGTGAAGTTTCTGATTATATCAAATATATTAGGTCATCAAGAAATTAATGTCGCTTTTTTAGATGAAAAACCCGAACAACCTATATATCAAAACAAAACATTTATT